TCAGGTTGCTAGTTCTTAGTTTATCCTTCTTTCTTTCTAATTTTTGCCTCAGTTCATGACTGATAAGTTGCAAAAATAGGCTATACACCATGACGTATGACACACAGAGGTCCCCTTCTTGCATCAATTGTGTCTATGTGCCGTAGTGAATATGATTCACACCGTGGCGTATGGCATAGCAATACTAAATCTTTATTTTCTTCTCCTTTCGATGCCCAGGTCGCCCGACTTTATACCGAACTCACAACTAGGGCTAAAACACGATCAAAACTAGTCATCAAACCTCCCTAGCCATACGCCACTACAATTTACTTAATTACTATAATTAAGCTTGGTAAATTAGGGGATTGAAAATTTGGGATGTTACGTCAACCTTTTGTGACCTTTTGATCATCAAAATAGCTCATCCAAGGTCTCCAATTTCATGCAAGGGGCTTTCATCATCATCATATAGCTTCCCATGGCTTAAAACAGAAAATGAACTTATTAAATAATAAGTTGTGCACAAATAATTCTACGTGACTTATGAATTTATCCAACTTAGTTATGAAAATGTGAAGTGAATTAAAGTGATTAAATAGAAGATTAGGAGATGAATTTAGTTATGAGAATTTTTCTAGGAGTTATAAAAACTAAACCTAGTATACTTCCAAAGTTAATGCAGAGTACAATTAAAGTACAAAAAATGTGTACTTTAAAAGATATTTTAGTAAATAACTCACAATCTAAGTTGAATTAAGTCAAATTAAACTCATGGAATTAATGAAGAACTAAAAATTAGCAAATAATGATTTTTTTCTTTTTTCAGAAATTATTTTTAAAAATTACAGATGCCCCTAAACTTTTAAAAATTTGCACTTTTTTCCCAAAAGTTGTGGAAATTACAAAAGTAGTCTAAATTATCTTAAATGCAAATAATATGCACAAAATACCCCTAAAAAGTGTCAAAATCTAGGAAAAATAATATAAAAATGATATGAACAAATGATAGTTATCACATTGGTTAAACATACTCTACTAAGGTAATAGTAACGTAGGGACATTAGCCTTATTTACCATGGTAGTAAGGTTTATTTAGTGGGTTAATTGTTGTAGGTATTATAAAAGAAAACCTAGTCAATCCAATGGGTGAATGGGTTGACCTAAGTTAGATTTTAGTTTTTTCTTTTTCTTTTTTCTTTTTTCCCTAAATCAAATTTAAACTCATAATTAATATATATTTGTACAAGATATGTATAAGATTTTGTGGGTGAATATTCTATTTCACTTGAGAAATAATGACTTTTAATTTAAACATTTTTATATGGTGAATATGGATTTTTTAATATTTTAATTAAATTATATTATTTTACTCATACCTCTAGCTTCAAGTTGGCTCCAAGTAAGTCACTAACTCTTGAGTCACTATCTCAACCTATTCAATAACAAATTCAGTTTTCAGTAACTTGGAAATTAACATTTAGAAAAATGTTTTCTGGCTTGATGTTATCGTATGATACACTCTTCGTGGAGATAACTTAATCGCTTAGCGATTTCTAAAGCAATTTGGTACCCCATTTTCTATTCCAAAATCTCACGGTTCTTTTCCTTGAATATATGAGAGTCCAAAGAGCCGTTTGGCATGTAATCATATTGTTTTCTGGCTCCTTTAGAACAGAACCCTCTAAGCCAAATAAGATTAACATGCATGTTGGATGTTCCCAATTGTTCTAACTTCTGTTAGGAATTGCTTCTCACCTCGGCTAATGCTTTCAAGCTTCTTCACTGCAATGGCACTAGAATCTGGTAAAGTTCCTTTGAACACAGAACCAAAACCTCCTCCACCTAATTTCTCCGAGAAATTCTTTGTTGCATTTTCTAAATCTTTGTACCCAAATGCAATCAATGAACCCTCCACATTGTTTCCTATTTGAATAAATTCCTTTCTTCTTCTCGTTATCACAAAGAAAAATGGCTAGGAGAACCCCAATAACAACAATTCCAGGAATCATTCTCTTAATGTTGGGTTAAAGGCATTTTTATCTTTCAATTATTTGTATAGGAACATTTGTTATCTTAAACTTGCCTGTGGATTGATATAATGAGTATCATATCATTAAAAAAGTTAACTTTAATGATTATTTAACTTAAAAATTGAAGCAAAAGAACGTAAAAAATTTTATAAAATGACTCATAAAATTACACATATGTACCCTATAAAAAAATGAAGGAAAAGCATAATATCGGTCCCTATAATTTTATCAAATTTTACTTTTAATTTTTATATTTTTTCAATATTTTTAGTCCTTATAGTTTTAGCAAGATTTGGTGACGTTTGTTCCTCAAATCCCTGTAGTGTCAATGTTTTCAATCTCTATAAGGACTAAAAACACTAAAAAAAAATTACAGGGACTAAAAGTAAAATACGATAAAACTATAAGAATCAATGATTATGTTTTTTCAAAAATTAATATCAACAAAGTCCTATAAATTTGCATGTAAATAACAAAATACGAATGTTATTTTTTACCTATTTAAACGGCAAAAAAAGAAAAATATTTTGATCAATCATTATTTTAGGGGCTTAATTGATGTCAATTTTCTTATAAGGTATTTATATATAATTTTATGGGTCCTTTTTTATAATGTTTTAGGTCTTTTTTTGTAACATTTTAATCAACTGACGATCAATATTAACTTTATTGACGACAAGGTATTCAATGCACCATTTTTAAATGTTGAAAAGAAATATTGCATCACAAATAAGTTTAAGATATCATATGTTTCTAGGCAAATAGTTGAAGGGCAGAAATGATCTTCAATCCATGTTTATAAAATCAGAAAACTCAAGATGCAAGGTCCTTTCATTGCTATCAACTTGGGAATATTGTTGTAGACTTAAACGATCATCATGCCAAATTAAAAACTCCTTATTATCATGTACATAAGCTACACGAGCAAATGCTCAAGCAGGTTGATTTGCATTCCCCTTCATCTCTTGATTTGACAGATCGAGCAACCTTAGGTAATGCCATATAGGACATTGCTAAGAACTTGTCCTTCTTCCCTTTGGAAGAATTAGAGTCCTCCCATTGTAAGTTTGTCTTCCTCGCACACCCACCTGAGTAATCGTTTAGATTCCAAGCACTCTGAAACTTGGACTTGAAGCCAGGCAAACAACTACACAATGTCATCGAATTCGCAGAGCATTTTGCAAACGCACCACAAAATGCATAAACTGCACTTCGTTGTCTTGCCTCTGACCAAAACAAGTTCCTTTGCTGGCTGGGTTCCAACCATGAGTATTGTAGAATTTGACTTGAGATATCCACCAAAATTGGAGAGATATTAGTGCTATTAAACAAAGTATAAGTCAAACAGCTCTCATCCTCATTTGGCACAAAAGTCAGAGTGTAGTCATGATTTAACCTCATTTCAAAAAGGAAGCTGAAAATATCTCTAGGGTCCAGACCAAGGACCACAAGTCCAATACTTTACAGACTTGTTCCAAAGAATCCGACGAGAAGTGGATCCATTGGGATCTAGCTCTGGAGAGAAAAGGCCTTCTCTAAGGTCCTCACTCTTCTTCCATGAAGTGAGATATTGGGGCTGTTTTGTTTTTTCGGGTTAAATGAAAATTTCATCCCTAACCTATAGATCCAATATTAATCTTAAATTCACTTTTGGACTTTTGATACAAGGTTTCCCTTCAATTCTTAAAAATGGTGTAATGTAATTAATTTTGACCATTAATTGATGAAAAAATTACAAAACATGACATCAAAAATCATAAAAAATGACTCATAATTAAAGACAATGACCTAAAAAATCACAAAAAATGATTGAGAAACTTTTCTGCACCTTATGCGGTCCTTTTATGTAATTTTTCAGTCATTTAATGGTTAAAATTAACATTTATTAATGTAACAAAAATATTGCACCATTTTTAAAAATTTAAAAAAAAATCACACTGAAAAAAAGTTGAGTCTCTCAAACGACATTTAGGGGCAAATTTTCCATTTAATTCCTTTTTTTTTTTTGTGTCTAATCTATTTTTTCCTCCTCAAAGCCATGTACCAGTTGGATAATCAAAGCTCTGCCATAGGAGCTCTATTTCATTAAACCCGTTTCTCACAACAAGATTCCCACTATCCTCAAGAATAGCTTCTTCGAAACTTGATGTAAGAGAAATCAAGCTTGTTGACCAAACCATCGTTTGAGATTGGTCAAAAGAACTAAATTAGCACCTGATGTTGCTAACTTGGCTGAATATTTCTCAGAGACGGCTTATCTCTTCTACCCACCAAAACATAGGTCTTTTGAGAGATCCTTTTGTATCAGATGCCTCCGCAGCATTTAGAGTTATTACCTGGACTGAAGAATCCCAATTCAAAGACCCCATCTCAAGAGATAAGAGTTTGATCGCCAGTGAGAGATTGGTTTGCAGAGATGGCTTCTCTTTAACCTTCTTGTTCATGGCGGCTTGTTGCCAAACGTTCGGTTGCTGTAATTAATGTATAATCTATAATTAAATAGAAAATCCTGCACGGACCTGAATAATTATATTTTACTTACCAGCATAAGATACTAGGAAACTTTTAAATAAAGTTGTCCATTTATACAAGGAAAACCACTTGAATTTCCTGCAAAAACCATGAAAAAATGTTTTCTAAAAAAAAATGAGAAATATACCTGGAAAGAAAATAAGGTTGAAAATTGGTACATTTCTCATTTCCTTTCTAAAAATAAAATAAAAACATTTTTCTACCTACCAAATACCAAAGAGAGGCCAAAATCCTTCCAATTCCAATAAGCTCAAAAAAGGACGCTGCTGTGTGGGGAAATTCTGCCAAAAGACCAAATTGCCCCGATACAGAAATTGCCACATGAAACAACGAATTGTTAGGGTCAAAGCTACACTAATAACAAGAGAGAGAGAGAGTGGTGTCGCTCGAGCAGGAGAGATGAGAAACCAGAAGATAGAGCGAGAGGGTAAACGCCAGAGCTTTGCTCAGTTGGACTTAAAAATTAAAATAAATGTTATGGATTGAGAATACAAACAGAATGGCCCGATTATCCAGAATTATAGGAACATATACAGCACAGATTTCAACCGAGAAAAAAAAAAACAAAACAAAATTGAAAATCCAATCCTTCAACTTGAAGGACGTAATGATTTCCCATTTCTACTTGCAACCACAAATCTAACCCCTACACTATGATGTTAGCAAGCAACCTATAAGAACTAGTAGAGGCATTAATGAAGAGAAGGCAAATAAATAGGAGAAAAAAGGAGAAAAAATCGAAGTGCAGGTCTTACAAGTTGAAAAGAAAGCAAAGCGACCATACAGGAAAAAGATGACCATCATCTGCATATAAATTATCTTCCCCAAATTCCAAGTCTTTGTTTTCTCCCTACACTATGGCAAACAACACTTGCCCTTGATTTGCATGAAATTGGTCATATGTTCTGTAGCTGTGAAAAGGAAATCCGAATTATCGAGCCAGAAAGTGAGGTTGCATGCTTGCAGACAAGTGCTTCAGTAGCCTGTTCTTCAGTCTCAAACTGAACCAGAGCCTGCTTTTTCCCATTCATCTCAAAGACTTTGCTGTTCACAATAGTCCCATGCTCCTCCACCAAGTTCACAATCTCCTCTTCTGTGACGTCTTGAGGGAGAGTGGACAAGTGGATCATCCTTGTTGGGGAGCAGCAATACCGGTAGTTTTTTGCAGCATTACGATTGAAACGATTGAGATTTGAATTTACGTACTCGTGTGTGTCAGGACCTTGGGTTATGATTGGATGCTTTGAAAAGTTGACCTCTAATTGCTTCCCGAATAGCATGGCACCCTACAATATCAATGTTCAAAAATGCATTAGTGACCAGCTCAACCTGCAGCATTCTTCTGTAGATTAAATACAAGATAAATTTGCAGGCCGCATTAACAGGTGATAAGGAATAGCTGTATCAAAGGTAATAAAAATCCAGTTAAGATGGATCCTTACATCATTTCGACAGGAATTTTATAACAAGCAAGTATATAATACATCTTCAACAATTGCAAAGCAGCATAAATTAAGCATTCATCAACAGCAAACATCCCAAGAATCGACAGAAAATTAAAGCTTAAGTAATACTTTCTCAAAGTTTTTCTTCTCTACTTCCTTCAATAATACTTCATTTTCAGTATGAAGAAAAAATACTTGCGCAGCTACAAGGAACCTAACAATAACATCTCCGTTTGGTATATAAAACAGAAATGCATGAAGATATATAAATCTGTCATTTGCAAATGATACAGACCTTCAGGAAGTGTACTGCCAATTCAGCCTGGAATCCATCCCCCATCTGGATAAGTGCATGATCTGGTTTATTTCGCAAAAGTTTAATTCTCACAATGTTGCCATAAAGGGAGAACAAGTTGAAGAGTTTATCCTCATCTATTCTCTGAAATAAGCATCTTTCAAGTTAAATTTAATTTAAAAAAAAAACACAAACAAGAGCACAAAAATCAAGTAGCTCTTACATCAGGATTAAGATTTGAGACCAGAATTGTACACCTCTCATTTGTCCCAGTAATTCCAGGAGGCAAACCGTTCCCAAAGGCAGCTGCAATGGCTGCAGCATTAGCCATCTAGATATTGAAACAAATGAATAAAAACGTTAATGAAAAGAATTGCCTAAACAAGAGATCAAGGAACAAACAGAGATCATTTGTATACGTTTCTGAAGCCAATATTCCCCATTTTTTCATTACATCAAATCATTCATCACAGAATGGAAGAAAATCTAGTGATACTCAAGAAGCAAGAAGTTTGAACAGTATCCTCCCTCACCAATCAACCACAATAAATATTAAATTGAAAAGAAAGTCCTTTCTAAAGGTCATCTCTGGAGATCAGTTGTGCTCAATTACACTGGTTAGCCACAAGCAATGAAATGCGGTGTCAAAAGCATTCATGCTCTAAAAGGATGAGCTATAGAAGAACAACAGTAGTTAGGAAATTCCCGTGCTTCATCATAAGATGCAATGCTATGATAACTTCCTCACAGCTAGAAATATGATCAGTCTGAATCAAGACTTCAATTAAGCTTGAATGATACACACCTGGGAAAACCCAACTGTGAAAGAAACAAATAAAACATTAGCAAAGAATAAAAACAGCATAGAATGACAAACAAACAAAATCATCAATTTCAAGATTTAGCACCTGCCCTTGCTCCAGAACCTTGAACAGCATACATGCCTCCTGCATCACCATACCCAGGCTGTTTCACCAAAGAACAAGAAAATGATAAAAAATGTTAGAACTGGTAAGAGCAGAATTTATTTGTAACAATGTATAAAGAGAGACACAAGAACATACTTGTGAAGATCTTCCTTTCTGCTCAGAAGGAAGGTTTGGGTTTGTGAAGTCCCTGTAAAGTTTTAGGAATAAACTCATCAACAGTAGGATAAGATGTCTAAATAGTAGTATAATATTTGAACAAACATCAAGTCAGTAAATGACTAAATCACCTTGAACGATCATTGTTGTAGTTCACTTGTAATTCATCAAGGCTGTAGTTGAAAAGAATTAAAAGTTCACAGCAGAAAATGACAGCAAATAAAACAGCAGAGAATGAAAACAAAGGGGGATAAAATCCCATAGACTAGCATACAAAAATAAAATAAGTCTTTCAACAAACAAGCCAGTATAAGATGAAATTGTATCGATAGATGTAACATACTTTGAGAACTGAATGTCCAGCTGACAGCAACCATCATAAATATTACGCCCCTAGTTATTCCCAAAAGTAAAACCATCATTTCAGAAGCAATTTCAGGACCAGCATGCTTAGAGCTACAAGCACAAATTTAATGTAAGCAACCTGAAGTGTGCTTCTAGCTACCACAGCACTCTGACGTGTTTGATACTGAACCAGAGCCTGAAAGCCTGCAAAGTTTGCAAGTACAGGATAAAACAATTGGAACAACAAGCACAGTGCACAGGGCACTCATGTGTGACCCAAATGCAAAGCCAAAGTGTATAATGCTTTCCCCATTAAAAAAAGGAAAGAAAAATAAGACATGCATCCCCATTTAAAATCACAATGTATGTATGGTTAGTATAAAGTGTATAATTCCCTACAAGTTTAAACATGAAAGATAACAATTTCATTAAAGGCTAAGAATCTCGTCATATAACTTGGCCCATTTTCTTTCAAATATCAAAGACTTGCATATATTTAAATGAATTAATCAATGACCAAAATATATTGATACAAGTAGAAAAGGTTAAAAATGAAAAGAAAGAAGGATAGCGAGAAATTAGAGAGAATCTAACCAGCTGATTTCTGAAATGTCACAACTTTTTCAACATATCCATGCGGAGAAAACACTTGATTCAGAACATCCACCGTTATAGGATAGAGCATGTGATGAATTGTGACCAAGAGAATTCGATTTGGCTGAGCATCCAGAGAATTCCCACCAGTAGAGCGAGATTCAGAAAAAAGAACAAATATAGAGAAAAGGGTATAAATAATGAAGCAAGTGATAAAGAGAAAAAGAAACTTCAGAAGATAATATTATAACACACTGAACCCTGAGTCAAATCAAACAATCTAAGATAAAAATATAAAAGATAGATATAAGGGGATATACCAAATAAAAAGGGCTTTAAAAAATCACAAAAAGTTGTATGATTATTGTTTTCTCATGCAAACACCAAGAAGCATTAAATGGATTCCTTTCAATAATTGTTTAAACTGTAAACACAAGATGCCAACCTCATCTCCTCGTCCTTGACTTTGATCAACAGTAGTTAGTTCTTGATGTGAGGAAAATTGGATATAAACATTCCTCCCCCTGGAATGAAACAGAAAGCTAGGCTAAGAAGGTAATCTTGGCATCAAGAGAAGTAGAATTTTCAAAATTAAAAACCAAGAACAGATATTTTTTCCAAATCAAATGCACATGAAGCTGTCATTGGATTAACAATATAACTATACCTTACGCTTGGCTGAACATTAGAATAAAACTGTAAAGCATTAACTGCAGAAGCAATATCTTGCATTTGGAGAAGAGCCTGCAAGAATGGCAAGTACTTAGAGGAGAATATCAACTGCAACAGCAAAGAATTCTAAGACAAAAAGGCAAACACAAAATGTCATTAAGGCAAGAAAAACCTGATTTTTTGCACGCAGCATCACCAGTTTTGTTATCACTCCAAAAGGCTGAAATAGTGTAAGCAAATCATTCTGCAACCCAAAAAAGTGAAATTTATCAATTCTTCAAGAACTAGTAAAAGTCAACAGTAGAAATGTTATGGAAATAATTCATCTTGCTAGACTTGCTGGCACTGGTACGTGGCTTCTCTAGGTGAAAATTCATATTTTGTCCGTTTTCATTGCCGTGAAATTCTCATTTAAGGCTTGGTACAGAGAAATGGAAAGGAAAGATCCCAGGTTTCATGTGATGGAAAGGAGAAAGGTCAGGAGTCAATGATGGAGTCCTCAATGGCTAAGCATTCTTTAGACACAAAGGAAACAAACTGTATTCTCTTGGAATCAATGTTGAAATGTAAAAAAAGCCCATGACTCATAATTTAATCAACAAACTCCCTCCTTCTATCAGATAAGCAATATATCGAAAAGAAATAAGAGAGAAACCATTGGACCCCTAAGATCTCATCTTCAGCTTCAGTATTTAGCAGAGAAATCACAAAGAAATCGCTAGATTGAGTAAGGAAATCAGAATGAAATCCCTGGATTTAGCATAGAAGTATGAAAGAAATGCATCAAAACATTGTTGCCATTTAGATCTAACCAAAAAACACGTTACCCATATGATATGAAGTTATTTTGATCTGTTGTTGAGGAGGGTGTCACTGGGAAAGAATTGTAGGAGAGTTGAACACAAAAATGAAAAGAAGAGTCAATCCACCTAGAGGCAAAGAGTTGGTCCTATTGATGAGAGGGGCAGTTTTGTCTATTCAAATAAAATGATTTCCTACCATTCTCATTTTCTATTCTGCCAAACATTATTCAGTAAAATATTTTGTTTCATCCAATGCATACAAAAGATATATTCTTTTCATTCCCATCTCCACTCCATTAAAAGTTTTTTCTTCTGACCAAACGATACGAAAGTTTTCTCTTTATATGGAAAAAGGCAATCTTTCTCGTTTACTCTTTCCATGATTAACTTTCCTTTTCTCATGATAAAGACTAAAGAGAGGATAAAAGGACAGAAAGCAGAATAATTAAGACATCAGTAATTGCAAAATGCATTCCCCAATGATTTGGTTTCCCTACAGCTTGCACACATCTAAAATCTCAAGTGTTTCTTACAGCCACAATCGTTGTTCTTTCTCGGTTCTTGTGCTTTATAAGTTTAGCTCATTATCCTTTCCAATATTCAGGAATTCAATAGGTATCATAAATAATCAGACACTTGCCCTAAAAATATAAACTACAATAAAATCAGAAAATAATAATTAAAGCTTCAGTAACATACATCTGATGGGTACCTAAGTAAGATGGAAAACTCTACCCCAAAAGCTAGCTATTGAGGTGGCAAAACCAACTTACTTAAATACTCCATTAAGCATCCTATACTACTCAATGTGGGACTTAATATCCCATGTTACCAAGTCTCCATCAACATCACACAACTTTTTCTACAGTAAGATTTTCCATTTTCATCCACGTACATTATGAAGGCATAAAAAGACAACCATAGGTTACTTTCAAACTAAATATAAGGTTTAGTACAGATACTACATATGAAGTTACGTATATTTTGAGATGATCATATCTTTAAGGAAGAGTTGATGTCTTACTTCACTAATATTTAGTATCTACCTATAGGCATCATTAGAGGCTTCCTTGCTAGTCGCTAGACATGTTGTAAAGTGTTTGGAAAGCCCATTGAATTCACAGATTCATTGGTTTTCATTGTGTTTGATTCTTTCATAGTTTATCAAGGAGTATAGTTATCTTCTATCAATGTAGCCTTTCTTTCTTTTTTCCCTCCTGAATAACAAATTGTCTTTATTCAAATAAACTACCCTATGATTGAACAGAAGTGGGTTTTCTAAGCAACAAATTGTCTTTTTGTCTTTATTCAAACAAACTTCATTAAAATTGAACAGAAGTGGCGAAATTAAAGAGGCAAATCATGCTTTGATGCCATACTTTAAAGACATCACCCATACAACAGTATGACATATAGATCATACAAAATATATGTATTAAAAAAACTAGATTCATAAAAGAAAACATAATTCACGCTCTAATAAGGTAAGAAAGTATCATATCAAACAAACTAAGTTCCAACGCTCATTTCAATTCCAGTGTTACTCACCCAAAGATCTTGACAGGAAGCCAAAGCCACAATAAGTCAAACAGATATGTTTACATAGTTTGGTTAAAATACTGAAACACACACACACACACACACAGAGAACAGAACAAAAATGACCTGGCGACAGAAAGAACTACACCCTGGGAAACACCCACACAAAGAAATTGATAACCGGGATAAAGAAACAAACTTTTTCAAGTTAACATCATCTATTACCCACAGTAAGCCAGTGCGTCAGATGACATGACCAGTGGACAAGCAACGGTCTATCATATAAATACCATACATCGTACATGGATGAGTAACCCATCTTAATTTAGGTAACATAAAGAAGAGCAAACGAAAGTATTCCAATCAATGGATAAAATAAGCAATTTAGAACTATTTACAAGAACTGTCCCATTGCTCAATGTCTAGTTGGGGTCACTTTCTATAAGCTAAAGCAACTGGACATAGGAGCCATGACATGATCGAAGTCAAGAGAGGGAGGGAAGAAGAGAGTACTTCGGATACTTCATGCCCCACGTTTCGGACGTGAATGACCTTGGAAGGTTCTGTCATTGTAAATCAGCCTGAAAATGAAGAAGCGGAAGAGAGAGAAGTCACGCTAAAAAGATCCTAAATCCCTAAATCATGTTTTCGAATTCACAGATAACACCAACTCCAACATGTCTTCACTTAAATCAAGAAGAATGAAAACAATTAGAGTAATTTCACAGTTGGAATACAAGAAAGAACTAGAATTTGAAAACTCAACGGCACCCCATGAAAGCCAGCCGTATTCATCAATTTCAATATCTTTAAACGCCCAACCACACTAAATCACAACACAACGAGCTAAACTGCCTCCGGCTAAATCAATCCAAGGAAAAAACGAATTCGAAACCCAAATATACAAATTAGCAGAACAAAGAGCGCGTAACAACCGGCGAAACACTAGAAAGATTAAGGGTATCTCCAAAATACAGATGAAAGCCCTAGAAGACGATCAAAGTAAAAAAGCGCACACAAAACATCCGTCCAGTATTGAAGAGGGAGAGAGCTTGCCTGAAAGAAGAGGGAAGGGGGAGGAGAGAGAGAAGAAAGGTGGGGGGGGGGGAGCGGGGGAAGCTAAGTAAGATTGAGTTAGCCCTATGAGGCGATTGATATTTGACGACTTGCTGTTGTTTTGGACTTTAAAACTGCTATCTCACAAATCAAAAGTCATCAACTTAACAGCACAACAGAGAATGAATCCTCTGATCCTGATCCAAATATTTTGTACTTGCTATTATTATTATTTTGGATATTTTATACTTTTTCTTTTCTTTTTTTTTCTTTTTTTTAAGCTATGAAAACTACCTTTCGTTTCAAGGAAAAAAAATAGCAAACTTTAGGCTGGTCAAAAAAGACAAAAAGCAAACTTTAGAAAAATTATATAAAAAATTAATATTTTAGTCCTTCAACTTTTAACTCACTTATAACTCAGTTTCTCAACTATGACTCAATGTGACTCAATTTCTCAACTATAACTCATTTATGATTCTGTCCCTGAACTTTTGAATCACTTACAAATTAGTCTCTTAATTTTTGTTAATTTTTTTTCATGTTAGCTTATATCTCACATTAATGAATAAGAAGAGGGTATTTTAAAATAATATATGTGTATTTTTTATCCCTCTTATTTGATAAAAATTTTAAAAAAAATTAAAAAATAAGGATCGAGTTATAGGTAAATCAAAAGTTGAAGGATTGAGTTGTAGTTGAAAAATTGAGTCGCAGCGAGTCATAATTGAGGAATTAAGTTACAAGTAAGTTAAAAGTTAAAAAATTAAAAGATTAATTTTTCCAAAATTATAATATTAACTTAAACTATATTTGAGACGTCCTAAAAACATGCGCTATATTATTATCCAATTAAAACCACTTATATACAATTACTTTGAGAGTCATCCTTATCACTATCATCACAAAAATTAAAGATCTCATATGAATAATTAGGTAATCACATTTGATCACGTTTATAAAAAAGTAAATAGATGTGTTGATTATTTAACTCACCAGATATTTTATGACAATTTGAATACTATGATCTTTATGATCTTTAATGTTCTCTCGCATGGTTGTAAAAGTCTATTGACTTTAAATATAACTAAATTTTAATTTTTTTTTACACAATTTGTTATGGCCATGTATTTAAAAAAAAAAACTACTGATAGGAAGGCCAAAAAATACACTCATCTTTTATTGTTGTCATTTTGGCTCTTATGTCTATTAATAATTTTATCAAATTGATGTTTTTTAACCCAATTTATACACCCTATTATCATTTGCATCATATCTTATCCTTATTTTCTGAATTAATCCCATGTGGCCTATTAAATTAAATTAATCCAAACGTCGAACATATGATTATAGACCGAAGGACAATATGTATGAGAGAGAGAATGGTTATAGGCTTCCTTCCATGGGAAAATGAGAACAAATAAAGAAAACATATAACTGAAATATGTAAATAATAATTAAATATTATGAAATATGATGAATATTATTTAGTGTCTAAGAACATTTTATTTTTAATGAAATGACATCTACTCTCGATTACTATTATGCATTAAAAAAAAACTACTTTGATTAAACCATTGATTAAAAAGGAATAGAAAATGATTATTTTTTTCAAATTTTATTTATTAATTAAACACAAGTACTAAAAATCAATAGCTATTATATACTGAAAAATAACCATTTTGTTTGGGTTATTAATTAAAATAAAATGGGAATTGACTACTTCATTTCTATAAATTTGTAATTTATAAATGGATTACAAATGACTACTTCCTTTTTTTTCAATGACTACTTTACTTGCACTTAATTGATAAATAAATTTATAAAAATAAAGTAGTTATTTGATATTCTGTTTTAGTCAATAATTCAATCAAAATAATTTTTTTTTCACATATAATAGTGACTAAGGGCAAATATATCATTTCATCAAAAATCAAAATGCCAGACAAATCCTTAAAAACTAATAATAATTATCATATTTTAAAGTACTTAATTGTTATTTTCATATTTGAGATTTTTTTCCTATCATTTTCCCTTCTTTCTATTCATTTTTTTATATGTTTAAAAAAATTGAATTTTGAATTTTATATTATTAGTGTTCTATTTATAATTTTTAGATAATTTATGTCTCATTTTATTTTTAAGATTTTATCATTTTTAGAAAATTAAAATAAAAAACTTTATTATCAATTTTTTTAATAAAAAACTTTATTATCAATTAAAACTAAAGAATCAAACCAAAATTATTTGAATAAAACATAAATAATCTTAGGATTGAATATAATGAACTCCCTTAGAAGTTAATAATAAATTTAAAGATTTAAAATATATTCAAAACATTAACTTATTTTAATCACATGATAAAATCTTACCCCCTCCATTTAAAAATATAAAACATTTTTTGAGAAGTAGGATGTTAAAAAATGTAAGACATTTTTAGTCTTTCGAGGTGTAGTCATTGCTTTTTTTCAAAGGTGCCTGTATTGATAATGACTTTATATTTATTGTAGGATATTTAATATAAATGAAAATAAAAAAATAGAGTTAGTTGAAAAGTATATAACTATATTATTGAAAAATAAGATTCGGTTAAAAATATTTTATATTTTTTAACGGAGGGAGTAGGTAAAATAGAATTAACTATTTTAAAGTATAATATAAAGACACAGACAATTTATGCTGCGCTAGCTTGTATGTTTCCTAGGCCAATTGTTCTATCTAGCCTCCAAATAGTTAGATGAATTATTAAGGGAAGCATTGTTGTCAAACACAGCATTTTAAATTTAATGTATTGAGCCACCTCGTTGGCAAGAGTTACGAAATTGGGCCCATGATAGGTGTAGGTTCAAAAGCCCACTCAAAGGGTTGGGATTTTCCCAACAGTACCGGCCCATAGCTTGCTAAAATTTTCAACCCGTTTTTCTACTTGTTTTTTTTTAAAAAAAAAACATTGCACTTGTTTAGATGAGATTGCTATTGGGTTTCAAAAATGTCCTGGGTCCAATAGATGGTTACTTTGAGATCTCTTTTGTTTAAGTTGAGCTGGGTTTTTAAAAAAAAAAAAAATCTTGTTCAACTCCTTTTCGGAAATGATGTTCTAATTTTGGGGTTGTTTCAATTTTGGTCAACTATTTGATTTAAGAGTCTCTGATATGCCTTTTCTTTAATGCATTTTGTAATATCTCAATGTTCCAATTTCTTTTTTGAATCATTAGCTTTTTAAATAAAATAAGAGACATTTTGGTATCTTAATTAGAAACAATGAAGTTTTGAATTTTTTTTATTTTTTTCTAAAAAAAATCACAATTACATCCTTTTATTTTTGAAAAATCATAAAAAAAAAAAACATATACAAACTTCACCATTTCAAGATTTTAAGATATCAAAGTATTTCTTATTTTATATAAACATCAATGATCCAAAGAAAAGAGGAAAACAAAATTAAAAAGTTGGAACATTGTAAAGAACACTAGAGAAAGATATGTTAGATGATAATCGCCCATGTCTGTTGAGAGTCGCGTGCAGCACCATTGCCCTGAAACTACGAAGTTATTGAAGAGTCTGATTAAATCGAAGCGCTAAGGGTGGACGCAGGAAGCGGCAGCAGCAACTAACTGGAATGGCCATCTCGCTATATGTTGTCCATCAGCATTGTAAGCTTCATCTAGGGACTTTAATGCTGTGATACTTGATACATTGGCACTCAGTTACGGGCTATTGCATTGGCACTCTGTTGCTTGGGATACTGAAATCGTAATTCCACCTTTGGTCTAATTCGAAGGAAGGAGCGATACTTAATACAGAGGAACGGGAATAATGCTGAGTTGAATCCTGACAAAGCTTTAGCTTTGATCACGGAAAAGAGGCTGCAAGTTCTGCAAGGAACCGTGTTCCTAATCAATTAACCCAGTGTGCCGCTTCAGTGATCAGAATTTGTGCCGGAATAAAAATTACGCTCCCAAAAAATAGAAAATCTAAGCAACTTCCATTTAAAACGAGATAAATTTGAAGTGCTTGAGCAAAATTTATAATCAAACAGTGCGTAAACTAAATTGAACCAAATAAAAGAAATTCCCAATTTAACAACACTAGAGTTCAACTTCATGTAATTTTAATATAGAGCTGCAGCAAAATCTTGCAATTTGCATAATTATGCCTTGAGACGTCCAAAGAACTTCTGCTTCTCCTGTGTTGTCTGGAAGCGGCCATGGCCAAACTTGGAAGATGTGTCGATGAACTTGAGCTTGATCTCCTCCAGAGCAAGGCGAGAAGTCTGCTTCAGGAGGGATTGACGCAACGTGATAACCCTCTTCTTGGGACCAACACAGCATCCCTTGATCATCACATAGTCATCCTTCACAATGCCGTAGTGAGGGAAGCCACCCATTGGAGTTATGTCCTTCTCAGTCCTGAAAGTCAAACCAAGTCACATCAGTTTGCTTCACATCCCATTTATTGTGATTAAACATAAGCTTTTAGTTAATGTTGACATTCACTTCTCAATACACCATAAAAGCACAAGTATGTCCATAGCATCCTGGTCATATCAAGGTTAATCAAGCAAATCACCTGTCAAAATCAGTAACAGCTGTGTGTGACTCGTCTCCAGCTTTTCCGAGCTTGTAAACCTTCTTGTTCATCTCAGTACGGTGGTGGTATCCATTCTGACCAGCTCTGGCAACTGTGAAGGAAACTCTGGCAGGATGCCAGGCACCAATACATGCAACTTTCCTCAGACCCCTGTGAGTCTTGCGGGGAAGACGGGTAACACCCCACCTAGTGACAACACCTTCATACCCTTTACCCTTTGTTACACCAATGAGATCGATCATCTCATCCTTCTGGAATACAGCATCAACAGGAACCTGCTTCTCGAAGAAATTGTATGCATAATCCACCTTCTGTGCAATAGTACCACCATTGACCTGAATCTCCATGAGGTGAGCTTTCTTCTGCTTCAACCCTTTCATTTTCCTAATCTGTGAGAAAGCAAGCCAGCAAGGTGATATATTAGATTTGAACCCTTAAATGGCAACATGAGAGAATTAGCAGTAGTTTATACAATCAAGAAATTGTAACTAAATAATATATTTAATGATTGAAACTTTCAGCTCGGACCATTCTCTTCAGCAGAGACGTATATACTAATCCTTGGCTTCAGGAAGAATTGCTTCCAGTTTTCTACTTCAGTGTTCTTGACAGACATTATACAGGAGGACATTAATCATTTACTTTCTTTAAGCACTAGTCTTTTTTTACTACTACATGTAATTATCCTCTATTTTATGACTCCCCAGGTCTGAGGCCAAGGAATTAGTATATAAATCTGTTCAAAAATATAATCGTATCTTTTTCTTAAAAAGAGAAAGGCAAGTTATACCTGGGTGTGAGCTAAAACGCGAACAACTGATGCATACTTCTTAATTTTCTCAAGCTGACCCTGAATGCTTTTCTTCCCTTCTTCAGATTCGTACTGCTTTGAGTACTTTGTGAAAGCCTTCTTCTTGGACTTGCACCAGTTCTTATAGAACCTTCGCTTCACATCCTCACTCAAATGCTGAGCCCATACAGTGCCCAATGTTCGAAGACCACGAGGTGTTTTCACATAACCCACAACTCCAACGATAACCATTGGAGGTGTCTCGATAATTGTAACTGGTTCACAGGTTTCCTTCTTGTGAAGTTCTGATACAACAAAAAAATATCATATTAAAAAAGATATCAACATAATTACAGAAAATAAACAAATGCAGAAACTCCTCATGTATACCAAAACTAAAGTTGCTTCAAAACGAATACTGCACTTAAGTCCACCTAAACAATATGCAAACTTATGGGCGTCAATTCAATTGAGCTCACAGAATTAAAAAATAAATAAATAAATAGGTGCTATATGTACAAATGTATTTCCAAACATTGGTATCCTCAAGAATCAATCTCCACTCAGATGATACAAAGAACAAATCTTTTTTATCTCTGAACATTGAAAACATGATTAAATCTTTGTCAACTAACAGATTACAATTGATGGATAAAATCATGTTGGATAAACAATTCTGGCCAACAGCAACAACGAGCCCCAGAAGTCCAGAACTACCTGAATACTAGAAAATTCAGAGTACTGGAACAAAGACATGGAAACATATGAACATGATTCAGATAATCAAGGAAACACCAAAGTGCTAAACAAGATCATTGCCAAAAACTCAAGGTTCAAAGCCTCAAATCAAAACTCCTAATGAAGAAGAGGCGTATCATCTATTGAAAAAATAAATAAAATATCAAAAACAGTGACTTACTTGACCCTGGCTTCTCGACCTCTCTTACAATGTGAGTCATGCCCGCCTTGTAACCCAAGAAGGCAGTAAGCTTGGGTGGCTTGCTTGGGTCATCCTTGGGGAATGCCTTCACTGCAGCAGTAAAATAAACAAATCAACATCAAAAGGTCGATAAAGAGAACGCCTACTTAACTGACCGGAAGCTCAGAACAGTGAACCCAATTCCATGATAGTACCATTAACATCAACTAAAAGCGAACAACATTATAAATCTATTAAAAGATAAAACAACAGTTGCACAATAAAACGATACCTTTTCCCCTGTGACGAGCAGCCCGCTTCCTGGGGAGAAATCCCAGAGAACCATGCCTGGGGTGTTCGAACTTCCTGTGCGACATCCTTCTCCTCTCCTATATTGAAGATTATCATATAAATTCATACAATCGAGAAAACAATCATGAAGAGATAGATGCTGAATGTAGAGCATCACAAATCTAGGTCTCGCAAACACATTAAAAACGAGATAATGCAACATTAAAGACAAAGATATATAAAAAGCACCAGACAATAAAGAAATTTAAGAATGAGATCCTCGTTGAAATGGATAATGTACCAGGTTCAATGCATGATCAGGAAATTAATGATGAAAAGAGTTAATTCAAAGCACAACGAAACACTCATAAACAAGAATGTAGGAACAAATTAGAAGCAATTGCGAAGGAGGGCGAGAGCAAAGGAGGAACGAAGAAGGACCTGAAGTTGCTTCCGCGGCGAAGCAGTGAGTGCTGCTGACCCAGAGCAAAGAAGCAATGCAAAACCCTAGTAAGCGCTTATATAATAATATTATGAAAAGAATAAATGAAAAATCAATTTACAATCATACCCCTATTTCTTCATCAATTTATTTGGTTTGAAAATTTCTAGCCCGAAGACGACCAAACAGCCTCGGGCTGCACCAATGATTTGAAAGATAGGATTTATTAGAGTGGGTAATATGTGCCAACTCGTGAGTTGCAACTTAGCCTGCGTCATGAGCCTAGCAGAACGGACTGGCATAACCCGTATTTTGGTAAGTTATATTTCTTTCTGTCAACCTGCATAACTCCTGGCCAACTTGTCAATAAAACAAATTTTTTTAATTTCAAAAATTATAAATTCATCTCTTTTTGTTATTTTTTAAGGTAAAAACATTATATTTTTCCTAAAAACTAATTATTCAAGTAACAATCAAAGTTTGCAATTGCAGCTATCAGGGGTCATCAAAACAATATGCAACAAATTTTTTTGGGACACTTTAAACTTTATACAAATCACATATCCTGCAATTTAGTTAGAGTAATTTACCACGTCAATATTTATTTATTTTATAATCAAAACATGCATAATAATTTAATCTAATTTTGTTAAAAAAATAATTTTTTTTATTACTAACCAAAAAATACCAGACAAACATATGCATATTAGTTAGCTAAAATCAAGTCATCTAAGTCATCTAACCTAAGAGAGAAATCACACATATCTCAGTTCTTCCAAACAGACAAAAAACTCCTAAGCAATATTTCAATGTCTAAATATATCTTGCGAGATGGTTTTGGTCCTTGCATTCTTTTCCGCACCATACGCAACGAAGTTGGCATGCTTTGGATGAACAAAAACCACAGCAATATATCTTTCGAATGAAGAATTATCTCTTTTCTAGAATAATTTTCTGTGACTTTCAAATGGTAGATAAGAGACTCTGTCAAGAAAGGAAGAATGAGTCTTTGATGTGTCTCCTTTGTTGAAAATGTTAGGAGCACACAAAGGTGGATCACAGCACTCGATGAGTTCCCCCCCCCCCAAAAAAAAAATTTGCCATGCCTTGTGTAAGCATGAACTGGGTTTTAATTTGCCTCCACTGATATGTTAGTTTTGAACCCACTAAATGAGAGAAGAACAAGGAAAATGGAAGAAAGAGGAAGAGAGAAATGACAGCCATCTAGATCTAAATGAGGGGTTGGGATGCAAAATTTGTTAGAGGAAAAGAAAATATAATTGGTTCAAACTTTAGATTTGAAATATTAGGAGGAGTGAAGTTGATGGTGAGATTGTGAAAATTTAAAACAGTGGGTAGTGAGTAGAGATAATTGAGATTTTAAAATAATTGAAGTAGTATAAATGATTTTTTTTTATGGAGACTTTTATTTGAAACTATTTAATTCTTATATTTTCAGTGGAATCATTTATTTTATTTTATTTTCTAAATTTTTACTAAAATCATTTGTATAGAAATAATTTTGATCTTTATATATTCAATTTGCTGCTTATTTTCTTAGCAAATTAAGTTGTTATATGTGGGAGGAGTTTCATTAATTATTAATAGTCAGAATTCAGATACCAACTCTTGCACATATAATAAAATCTAGTTTATACTGGCAAATTAAATTTTATTATCGGTGAAGTATCTATCATTTGTGTTTTACCAAAAACAATTCTAGATATACACTGTCATGTAATGGTCCTTATGTCGACAAAGATAAACCATCCAAAGCGCAGTTTTGCTGATGAAAACACAATTTTTTTAGTGATGCTTGATTCTTCCTTTGAAGCGTCCTAAACAAAGAAGGCTTGTGAACATGTTGCCAGAATCCACTTGACTTTTGGAATTGCTTCAATTGGAGAGCATAATGTTTGTTGATGCTTAAGGTTATTTCTACTATCTCATATGAGTTGCCAAGTCACCAAAATGGTTTTGACAACGTAAATCTAGGCGCTATCTGTCAACGCTTTTCGACACCAATGAATGGCAAAATCAGCAATGTCATTAACCTCATCCATTCTAAGAGAAACGTTAAGACCGAACCACATAGCTCTTGCATATAGGCAATGCAAAAAAGAATGGACCAAAGAGGCAAGGTTCAGAAATAGCAATGTGGTGTTTACTTAGAATATCCACCGTTGGAATAACTTGATTAATAACCCTCCAGCCAAAAAGAATGATTTTGTGCAGCAGTTGTAGTTTCCAAAGGAAGGTCCATACATGTCTATTAGCATTGCTAGAAATAAGGCTTTGAGTGATAATATGATATCCATTCTTAACTGAATCCTCACCAGAAGATGCATGTTTCCAAACAAGCTTATCTTCCTCATGGACTAAAGAAAAATGTGTCATGACGATACCCTCCACGTGTTGAGTAGGATATAAGGAGGCACTGAGATCTTTGCCCCATTTGGCACAATCAGCAAGGATTAAATCAGAGACACATATTCAAGTTTATGTGTTCTTCTCTAACGGGAAACCGCTTGAAGTGGTTAAAAGGAATCGATTTTCCAAACCCAACCTGCCATTTCAGGCTGTCTACCACGAGAGGGGAAGCCTTAATAACACCCTTCATCATCCATGAATATCCTGATTTAAGCTTTAGATTACCTTCAATCAAAGGCTTAAAATATTTTCTTTTAAGTGCCCTACTAACTAGAGAGTTATCATTAGCCACAATTGTAACATTCAAGAAAATTTAACTCCAAATTAACCGATTAGATAAAAGTAATTAAGTAACTTAAGGTAGTGTATGATTACAAAGAGCAAACAGATGTTTTAGTTTGTGATTTTAGCCCTAGGATTAAATTTGAAATGAAGTTGGGCCAAGAGAGCTCTACTAGGGCTTGGATTGTGGAAGCATTAGAGATATTTTAAAACTTCTAAACACTAGAGGTAAATTCTCTAAGTCTAAATCTTCCTTCCTCTTGCATTTGCTTAATGATTAGAAGTTATAGGGTTTGTTAGAAAAGATTATTTTTGGTTCATAGTAGAGGCTATGAGTTCGAACCCAATGACTTAAATAGAGTTAATAGGAGTTGTTTAAACTATTTAAATATATCATTTATGATATTATGAGTTTTGGAAGTTGTGGGGTAACAAATAACTGAAATTCCACCATAAATGAGTGGTTGAGCAATTTGATTTCTTAAAAGTTTGAAGTAACTAAAGAGAAATCCTTTTTGTACTTTTGTGTATTAGTTGATTTATTGATTTAAATGTTATAATTGAAGTATGTGCAATTATTTGATATGCAAGTGTGGCATAAAATATCTTAAAATCAAACATTATGTTGGAGTTCAATGACATGCTTTATATAGAGTCTTATGAAAGAACATTTGAGGTGTTCAATGATATGATGCTTGTAGAGTTCAATGATATGTTGCTTTGTGGAATTCAATAAGTGTGCATAGTGAGTAGTTTCATTATATAAAGTAAAGTGGAGTTCATGATTTGGTTATGTGTGTTAATGTGATGTTCATTTATGACCAAAGTACAATGATAATATTATGCATGCCTGTACATTGAATATTTGCATGCCATAAAATATTGCATTGTTGTGCATAAGGAAAATACAAGAGAGAAGTGGTCATACATACTGTGATGAAAAGAGCACATGATTGTCAATGTTATAACTCTAGTAATAAAAATAATGTGACTTGCTTTATATCAATGTGAATTTGAGTTATCATGCCATTATCTCATGAACATATGCTATTATGAATGTGAAATGTGAATATGTGTTTTGAATTATGCTAAAATGGTGCGAGCTTTCTAATTGATTGTCACTTTCACTTAAATTGAATAACATACATTTATATGAGTTAGATAGACCTTAACTATTGAGTGATTGTATACCCCTCTCTCTTTAATATTACAAGAGCTAACTGATCGAAACAAGGCTGAGGGAAACAGACTAAGACTTAGGATTGTGATCCTAAAATTGTAGGTCTCTTTTATTTTGAGTAATATATGTGTATAATTATTGATGATATTGCCAACTAGGAGTTTCCATGTACACTTACTTGCACTATGTATTTATTATTGTGATAATTGACACTACTGTTGAATAACACCAAAATTAATAAAAAATAAATTATGTAATAAAGTGTAACCTATGTCATCTTCTTAAGAATTAATGGATTAACTAATGGAGAGTTTTTTATGATGAAATTACTTTAAAAAACTAAATTAAACTTAAATAAAGGAAATTCAATTGAGAAAATTACCAAACACAAGTAGTGCAATCAATCACAATTCAATCACCTAAATTTAATATTCCTTATTCACAAAATAAATTAATTTCATTTAACTTTTCTCAAATTGTCATTTAAGAATTAAATAATAAATTAAATTATAGATTAATTAAAATTTCCTTTAGTCCATAACCTTAAGTTAACCATACCAAAAATAAAGCATGGATAATCACTCAAGCTAAACCAAATTATTTTTATGTTGCTATATTGATCGATTATAGCAAGTAAAACTTCAGATAAAATTTATAACCCAAAAGTTAGGCAATAAAGCTATTCTAATCAGTAATAATAATTAAAGTATAAAATTTAAAGGTAGAAAGAAGAAAAATAAACTAGAATAAAGTTAAAATAAAATCTTTTATGAATATTAAAGATTTTGATTAAAATTTAAGATCATATTTTGTGATTGATTACATTAATAATTTAGCCTTTCATAAAACTAAAAATCAAATAATATAAAATGAGAAATTGAAAAATCATGGCCTCAGCAGCTGAAGAACAAAACAAAAGGCGTGATCACCTCTGCTTCTTCGTAGAAGTCGTGTGTCCCCTGTGTGCATGGTATTTCCTTGCTTTAAATAAAAAAAAAAAAAAAGATGCGTCTGTGCTGTTGCGTCATTTGTACGGCTAAAGACAAAAAATTTAATAATTTAACAAAATAACAAAACTACCTTAAATAGCTTTAATTGAAAACCGCACTAAAAATTTAAAGATAAAGTTAAACAAAATTTTAAAGATTTTATTTTTGACTCGATCTTTAA